GTTGTGGTTGTTGGTGTTGGTGTTGGTGTTGGTGTTGGTGTTGGTGTTGGTGGTGGTGTTGTTGGTGTTGGTGTTGTTGGTGTTGTTGGTGTTGTTGGTGTTGTTGGTGTTGTTGGTGTTGTTGGTGGTTGTTGTCGTCGTCGTCGTCGTGGTTGTTGTTGTTGTTGTTGTTGTTGTTGTTGTTGGTTGTTGGTTGTTGGTTGTTGGTTGTTGTTGTTGTTGTCGTCGTTGTTGCTGTTGTTGTTGTTGTTGTTGTTGTTGTTGTTGTTGGTTGTTGTTGGTTGTTGGTTGTCGGTTGTTGGTTGTTGGTTGTTGTTGTTGTTGTTGCTGTTGCTGCTGCTGCTGCTGTTGTTGTTGTTGTTGCTGCTGCTGCTGCTGCTGCTGCCTTCATTACTTGTTCTGTTTTGTTGAAGCCGTGTGTGAGGTTCAGGTCAACTAACTGCGCAATTTCTTGACAGATGTACAACCACAAGATGGTACATACTTAGCATGTACTTATCTTTGCACATTAGCAAGACAAGATGGTGATGATGAAGTTGGCAAATCAAAAGAACAGTAAGGTTCTCAAGTCTCATATGCTAATTTTTAGTTCTTGAAAACAGTCGACAAGAAACAAATGTTTAATTGCGTGTAGTTCAGCAAAATTTTACACATACACGTGTGTCTAAACATGCAGCTCACGATGATCCTGGTCACAGGATACCTGGGATCAGTCGAGCTCTGCCGCCTGGAAGGACAGCTCCCAGGCGGGCATTGCCATTGAGGGTGGAACAAGGTTTTGCAGGGTTTAGGGTTTAGGGTTTAGGGGTTTAGGGCTTTAGGGGTTTGGGGTTACGGTTTAGGGTTTAGGGTTTTCTTGGTTCTGACGGTTAGGAGGACATGCGCTTCGGGGCCGGGGATAATCAGTGATACGCTGGCTGGGAAGGGAAGCCATTCAAGAGCTATGTACGTAGTCCGTGTAACAAAGCCTACTCTGTAAGCTCACACTTCTCGTCCCGGTTGGCTGACTTCAAACCCTAATCATGGCCCTAATCCAGGGTCTTGAACCCTGTTGCCACAACTGGAAGACCAAGAACCGGACAAGGTATCCGATTTCCGTTTTGCAGGCGTTCAGGGGTTGTAGGCTCTTGGCAGTGACAGTGTGCAGTCGCGTCTGCGCGCTCAAGTCCTGTGCATCCCGTTTCAGCGCGGTCAGCGTTCGGCTAACAGCTCTGCATCGCCACCAGGGTCGCAGATGAGGAGCGTGCGTAGCGGATGATAGAGCTTCCCGTGGTCAACCGTGTTCCATCCCATCTCTGCGGAAGTCTTGAAGCAGTGCGACTTCTTGACTTGTGGTTTTTGTTCTGCTCAAAGTCTGTGCCGGAAGGATTCTGCCAAATTTTCCCTTCACCTTCGAAAACACATCCACTTGGCAAGTAGAATGTGCGGATTTTATCAACCTTTCATCGGAGCCGTTTGCAAAACGGTCGCAATAACCCAGCATGTCTTCCTGTCTTTAAGGTGATCATGCCGTTCATCCATGGTATCTGATACGAAGCACTCGACAGTTTGAGTGACTTGCATTTTGAGTGACCAAAGTGATCTGCTACATCATCAGGTGGCGCAGCACCGAAACTTCCGAACATCGATGTGCGAGCGACCGTGGCCACTGTGTCCTACCACAGCCCGCGCATGTTTACCGCGTCGCATCGCTTTGCCCCGTCGATCGTACTGCCTTTCATGTCTGTTTGCTTTTTTTCGGGACTGGGGCGAGTTGTGAGCCCCAGGCAGGCATCGTCCTCATGCCGAATTGACCGAGAGCCAATTCTCGGCCCCGAGCTATGCCGAAAGCATCTAGAGTCTAGAGGAGGCATAATGTGCACCATCGTCTTGAGCCCTCTTAATCCAAAACCATTTACTTAAGCCTGAAGCTCCAGCAAAGAATCCTACATCCGACATCCGCCGCCTGCAAAAAGAAGCCCTAAACCATCTGAACAAAAGAGCCCAAATCTAGGTACTCTATCCAGCCAAGAGAAAGCCCAAACAAATCTTATAGGCGAGTTGGGGCCAGAAGGGAGCTGCTTGGAAGGACGGCGCCCAGGCGGGCTAAAGGCCTTGCAAAGGTTCAGGCTTCAGAGGGATTCTTTTTATTTTTGGTCTTTAGGGCTATAGGGTTTGGGGTCTGCATGTTCGGGTTTCCGGGTCCTGTTGTGGTTTGGTGCTTTCGACTAGGGGGTTGAAGTCTGGGGCTCATGAGATGAGGGTTTTTGCGCGATTCTAGCTTCAGGCAGGGTCTAAGTTTCTCGGATGCGGGTTTAGGGGTTTATGGTTTTCAGCTGCAGGGTCTCAGGTTCAGGGTCTATGATGGCCCTTGGCAGGCACGGGAGCTTGAGACTGGAAGCGCAGGCGTGTAGAGAGCCACTGTACGAATCACGGTCTCCTCTTCATTCGAGTCGCCCTAAGACCTAAGAGACATGCGAGGTGGCCGGAAGTGTTGTTCAGAGCTACTACTTGAAGCCCGAGGCATGAGCCGACCTCTTCTCTTCCGCGCTGGAATCTCTCAGGTTTGGGGCGTTCGAGGCTTCAGCTTTTAGAGTTTAGGGCGCCCTGAAAGCGTCAGACCGTGTCGGGTCTTTACGTAGTTCAAATCGTGTTTTCGTTGGGCCGAGGATCCCGAAGCCCCTGCAGCCAGAAGTACGACCACAGGGCTGCACAAGCCAGAGTCCAACAACCAAGACCCCGAAACTTCTGCAAATACGACCCCCCATGACCCTAGCAAATGCCCTGTACTAGGAGACCTGGGATGAGGCGGGTCCTTCCGCGTGGAAGGACAGCTCTCAGGCGGGCCTGGTTTCGTTTGAGGCGGAAGTCGCACACCCGCAGCCCTTGACCGCAACTGCTAGCATAGACTTTGGCTGCTGCGCCGAAGGCTCGAGTGGAGATCTTGTGCAATCTGTAGCAGTTCAGCCCTACATCCAAAGCCTTGAACTGTAAACCCTGAACACAAAACCTTGGTTCCTCTACACTGACTAGCTTGAAGCCTCTGGGGCTTTCACAAGCCAGAAGCCGTCTTAAACCTGCACCCGATGCCCTGCGTGTCAGGAGACCTGGGACGAAGCAGCACCTTCGGCCTGGAACGAGAGCTCGAAGGTGAGCTCTCTGCGCTGTTGTCTGTCTTTGTGGGAAGGGTGGCGGGGAGTGGTTGAGGAAAGTTTGAGTTAACGTTTACACGGTCCAGAAAACCCTACAGCCTGACCCGGCTAGCCTCCATCCCGAACCACTCCAAAACCAAAGCTTGTCCCAACCAGGATGTAAGGGTACAGGATGAACGTGTTTACGGTTTTTGATTCGCTGGTTCAACGTATATGGGTATACGGTATATAATTATGACTGGCACAAGAAGTTAGTTTCGTTCCGCCTAGAGGGTCCCGGAGGCAGGCCACTTGCACGGAGGAAGTCGCCCAGATCCATGTAAACAGTTGCGGAGTCGCACTGTGCTGTGCTTTTTGGATTTTGAGTCTTCCTCTCGTTTCCAGTGTTTCTTTCTTTTTGTTTTTGCTTTCATCACGTTCCTTCTGTTTTGGGAGCTCAGGGGCATGAGGGTTTGAGGCTCGCCTTGCCCCTGAGGCCCGAAGACCCTCCACAAGTGCCCCGCTGTAGGGCACAAACTAAGCTCTCTGCGGCCTTGCCTTTACTGTACGCGTAGGGCATCTCCACATCCATGGGTTCTAACATCACTTGCGACTTGCCAGGAGATGCCCCAACAAGCCGCTGCTCCTGCGTGCCCTCCTCAAGCCTGCTTGGGGCAGGGGCCTGGTGTTTAATATGATCCAGTTCTTCGCTCGATCTCGGAAGGTCTTCCAGGGATTGCAGGTCCAGGGCTGCAGGATTTGGCTTGTAGTTTTTGAAGCTTTTCCGTAAAACCTAGATTATTGCCGCGTGGCCGTGCCTTCTTCATGGCAGCATTGCTTCTTTCCGTGGCAACATTGGGATGATGATTGCCAAGGCTCCTGAACCCAGGCCCCCCCTGAAGGCTTAACACACCCTGAACCCAATAAGAAACGGCCCCCAACTCCAAACCCAACTTTCCCTCTACATCCGAACCCGAAGTCATATGACAGGTGTTGTAACCCTTCACCTTTAACCCTACTTGTAGGTTCATGGGTAGTTATAAGTGGGGTCATAAGTTCCCTAATATGGGTTATAAGAAAAGATACCCTGCTTATAACCCCACTTATAACTACCCATGAACCTCCAAGTATAGACCTCACCCCCAAGTTCAGCTCTCCAAGGGCTGCCGTACCTCCCCGGTGGCCGCAGGGCTCGCAGGCAGGTCCCTTCTCCACAGGTGTGCTTTGGCAAGAGGGAGTTTGGCCCACTAGGACTCTAGGACTAGGCTTTATCCAAACTCCGAGGTTCCTGTTCCAAAACCAAAGCTTTTGTTGACCTGGCCCAGAGCACAAGCTTTTCAAGCCAAGCGTTAAGAACCTTGTAAGCCTCTAGACCCGTTATGGATCAAACTCCAACCCCCCCCAAAAAAAAACACTGTCGAGCAAGTTTACCGGAAGCCCCAATCTCTACACCCCAATCTAAGCCTCACAACACCCGACTTCGACCTTAAGCGCTGAAACCTCGGCCAGAACCCCCTCAACCCTGAACATCGACGTAACGTTAACCAGAACTTCAAGTACGATTGAAGGACAAGGTGTGCTACCCGCTAGCCTAGGGTCATAGAGCCGACAACCTGAAAGGCTCAAACCCGCAGCCCTAAGCCGCAGGCCCTTCAGTCCTCAAGCGCTAGAGTCTTGAACCCGGAGCCGCGAGAAGACCCTTACCCGATATCCACAGCTTATTCCACATCATCCCCCAAAGGCGAAAGCCTTGAAGCCCTGTAAACCCTGAGCCCTTTCATGGCTTAAGCCCTCAGCCGTCGAGCCCGGACTCCAAAAAGCCTCCTGCCTGAGTTCGGCCAAAGCATGCGGCCACCGGAACCGAAGGCCTCTGCGCTCTTCTGTGCTTCCTTTTTTGAGGGCTTGCTTATGGAGTTATCAGGGTTGGGGTTGGGCTTAAGGTGCAGTGACATTTGGGGTTGTGGTGGGGGCAGATCCGAGTTTATATACATGTTTGGGTTCAGGCTGGAAATGGAGAGCCAGAGGAACCAGCCTTTCCATACAACCTTCAGCAGCGGGATCAATGCAGAAGACATGGCCTTAGCACAAGGGCAGCAACATCAACAACAGCAAGGACACAAACCGCAACATCAACCGCCCTTCCCGACCATCACCACCGCCACCACCACCGCCATCATTGCCATCACCTTCGAAACCCAAGAAAAGACATCCAATCAATTTCTGAAAGATGCCGCAGCCCTGTCCTGAAGCCCGGAACCTAAAGGAATCCAAAGCCTGAAACCTCTACAAGCTGCTGAATCCTGAACCCTCAGCATCAACACACTCCTCAGTTGCGGTCGCTGCCTCCGCTAAACTTGGCCTGTGACTGAGCCCGTGACTGCGGTGGCTTTGGGTTTGCAGGGCTCAGGGCTCGGGTTGTTCTGGGTTTGCTGTTTTTGCTTTGGGTGTACTCTTTCCGGTTGGTTGGAGGTCAGATTTCAGGGTTTATGTTATGTGTAGGAATGTGTAAGCTTCAGATTTGGATTTGGGCTCAAGTTTTGAGTTCAGGTTCCATGCTGCTTTTTCCCTCAATATCACGACGGCAATCGTGAGAAAGTCATGGCCGAAGCTTTGTCTCTTTGGCTGGCTTGCAGCCTTCTTAGGTCGATTGATGTCAACGATTTATTGTAGAGCCTGGTATTCGCTTCTTCGTCTCTGAGTTTTTTGGGTTTCACCTTACCTGGCCGTAGGACCGCAGAGTTTGTGATTTAATCTTCCGGATCGCCGTGTGGGTCGCTGTGAGAAGGTTATTTTTTGGTGATAGTAATGGTTCCTGATCTGTCCGTTTATCTTCAATGCTGGTGGTCTTCGTGGTGATGCCAACAGTATCGGAAAGAGGTGAGAAGGTGAGGACGCAGAGGAGGACGAGGAGCAGCAGAGCCGTAGTCGCTGCAGAGACGCTTGGGCATCAAGAAACGCAACAGACGGACCGCGCATGCAAAAAATGCTTGAAAGCCTTGAGCCCTGAATCCAACAACTGGAACCGTAAACCCTAAATCCTAAACCCGAAGCCCTGAATGTAGACCCCTAGGCCCTCGACCCGCAGCCGAAAACCAGGCTCCTGAGCTCACGTCAGCGTCCGCCAAGGACGTCTGGAATGGATTTCAGGGTTGGGGCTAACGCGTGGGTTGCTGTATTGCTACCAGTGTAAGCAACATACTATATAACTAGAGCAAGACAGTTGTACACTAGTCTGACATACTAACAACAAAACGGTGTGAAAGTACCATGGTGTAATTCTGCAATCCCACACGAATTTTCCTCACAAAGCGCCGGTGTAATCATATTCATCTATGAATGCAAGGCTGATGCCGCAGTGATCCACGCAGAAAGTACCCTTGCAGCACAATGGCCTCTGAATGCTTGAATTTGCTGTGGCATCAGTTCAACAATATGAGAACAAAACAGTACACTAAGACTTCATTTGTCATACTACTTTCTGAAACACTAACTTGCTATTCATGTGGTGCCACGCAGTGGAAAATCACACCAAGATACTAGCATAAGAAGAAAATACTCGTTGAAAAAAACATCACATGTGAAAAACCTACATATTCAACCTGCTAGCAGAATATTTCAGGGTTTTACTACGGTGGTAGCATAGTAACATATTATTGCAATGAAGAATCCTGCAATCGTCGGGAATCTAGATGATAATACATACATGATTAGGCGCATATATATATATATAGAGTTACATACACATTTTCACACGAAAACACACACACACAGACATATATACATACATACATACATACATACATACATACATACATACATACAGACAGGCATACATTCATACATACATATATACATACATACATACATACATACATACATACATACATGCATGCATGCATGCATGTATAGTGTATGTATATACATGTATGTGTTTATGCATGTATTTATTTGCTTATGTACTTATTCG